AGTGCAGTTTTGATAACACCAAGGCCAGGGGTTCGGATCCCTATATAGGGATGGCCGGTTAGCGGTGCTGACAACACCAAGTCAAGGGTTAAGATCCCCTCACCGGTCATCTTTTATACATATATTAAAAAAGAAATAGTAGAAATCCGTACTAATTCCAAAACATTGTAGTTGAGGAATCTTCCCAGAACTTTGTCCTAAAACCCCCAAATTACTTAAGAGGAGTTGAAAGCCTTAGGTGCTTCTAATAATACCCAGAATGGATCCTCTATTCCCAGAAAAAGAAAAGCTTCCTGATTTTTTCTCTTCTTTTGCTCCCATAAAACCTCACTTTATGGATTTTCCCAGACCAATTCCTTGTGTGGCTTTTTGGCCGTAACCAGCCTCAGGAGAGGTCTATGTTACAGTCTTTGACTAGGATTATACTTTCCCTGAAAATGTTCTGGATACTCTTTCAATCTAAAGAATGAAATCATTCCTCTGTTGAGATTCCATGTTTACTAGATTCCATTTTAAAGCACAAGGGTGAGTGTTTGCAGAAAGTATGTGGCATTAGCTGTTTGTCTTTAGGTAATGGGAAGGTAGTGGTGAAAAAGTGGCTTGAGTCAGGAGTCCTGGATTTCAATCCCGGATCTGTGCTTGACACCTTCCAACAACCTTCCAAATGTGTGCACAGTGGACTTTTCACTTTTCAAGATGTCTTCCACATCTTCGAGGCAATGCGCGGCCCTTTTGCCAACTTTGCCTAGTTGGATTCTACAAGTAGTTGGCATGCTACAAGTGCCAACCAGGAAGAGAAAAGAACGAGATGCAGGTAATGGAGACTGTATCAAGAATCTGAAAGGCCTGTGTTCTCCTTCATTCTCCAGTCTGCTAAACAAAAAGCTTTTTATTGCCAGTTTTCGCCACCTGCTGGTTGATGTTTAACAGCATAATTCAGTACGTTCTCTTCATCCATCATCAATATAATGTTCCCTAAGTTTATGAAGTTCGAAAAGAACATTTTTCTAATCTGAAGATACTGATGTTTAATAAAAGTATGTATCAAATCTTCCCAGATATTAAACTTTTTATTTAAAATGAGGGGAGAAAGAGACCATTAACTGAGAGGGATTTGATAACAGTAAGATAAAAGAGTTAAAAATGTAAAAGATGACCCCAAACCACTTAGGTTACTTTAGGCTAAAAATATAAACCATGACTCGACTGAAGCAGAAATAAATCCATTAATTGAATGAACTGACTAAAGAGAGTAAAAACAAGTAGTCCATTTAGCTTACATAAAAACAAAAAACAGAAAAGGAACTGCTTTAAAAATAACATCTCACAGGCCTAGATAAGCAATCAAAAATACTAGTTTCCAATTTCAAGTATCTTATACATTATAAACTTTTATGCTGAATAGTGCCAAACTCTTTCACATAGTTTGAATACTTTGTAGGCAAACATTATGTAAGCCCCATGAATACCGTTCCCAATTCATCTATGCTTCAGAGCCTTTCTTCTGCTGTAAGTGGTCCATCCAAGTTGTCTGCTTTGTGCTTGCAAACCATTCTTGTCATAACCAGGAAAGTCTTTTGTCATATCTAAACCAACAAGTCTTGGTTCAACTTAGAAACTTACCTGACTAATCTGCTGTGGATCCTAAACCTCAAAAAATGTTCAGAGTAATTAGGCAACAACCTTTGAAACTAGGCAATGTACTACAGATAACTCTGTTGTGCAAATGTGATAGGCAAATAATGTTTAGTTTTGGTTTTCAAAGGACAGCATAGGAAATTAACTTGTGGCTACTTTTTTCCCCTTTCAAATTGACTTGGCATTTAAAGTGAAATAAACTAAGGGTAGGAACTTGTCATATTTTTCAAATGCCTACTGCTCTGGTTGGATTGAAACTGCAGTAATAGAACAAAACAAGGTCTGTATTAGTCCGTTTCTGTTGCTTATGACAAAATACCTGAAACTGGGTAATGTACAAAGAAATAAAATTTGTTTCTTACCATTTTGGAGGCTGGGAAGTCTGAAGTCCAAGGATC